CCTCTTAACCTTTCCAGGGTTGTGTATCTCTTCAGCTGTTTGATAAAACCAACCCATTCTCCTTCTGGATTGAACACAAATGTGCTCTCAAAATTCTCACAACTTGGTGTGGAGACTTCTAATACTTCTACCCTGCAAAATAAGAAAAATTGAGGGAGGAAAGGAACTAGGAAACCAAGCTTGGACATCACAACATCTTGGGAGAGAATTTAAAAAAGAAGCCTGCTTGAGATGAGATTGGGAGCCGGGGAGATAGCTCAGTAGAATAAGCACTTGCTTGGCAAGTGTAAGGGTCTGAGTTCAATCCCTTGTTCTGCAAAAAAAAAAAAAAAAAAAAAGGAAATGAGATAGGCTTCTGCATTACAGAGTTTATGGTTTAAAAAGAGAAATATAAGGGCACTGGATTTTTTTTTTTTTTCTCCTAATGCCTTCAGGGCAGGTTTGGCTGGCTTGAGTTGTGGGGATCGAACCACAGCAACCTGAGCCTGACTGCTTTGTTGAAGCAGCCACTTAAAGAACTGAGCTATGGGGCAGGCCCTCAAGTCATTGCGATTTTTTTTTTTTTTTGTGGAACCAGGGATTGAACTCAGGCCCTTGTGTTTGCCCGGGAAGTGCTTATCCTACTGAGCCATCTCCCCAGCCCCCTATATAGGGGTATTGGGAGGAATATTAAAAATCCTATTTCTAGCTTGACAGCTGTGGCTTACAGTGCAGTTATGGCCAAGTCCAAGAACCACACCAACCAGTCCTGAAAATGGCATAGAAATGGCATCAAGAAACCCCCAGCCACACAGATATGAATCTCTGAAGCGGGTAGATCCCAAGTGCCTTAGGAACATGCCAATTGTTGGGACAAATGCTGGACACCCAAAATGAAGGAAGGAAAGGTTTATATAGCTTACAGTTAGTGGAGAATTCAGTTCATACTCTGCTGGCTCAAAGGCGGAGTGGCAAAGAGCGGTGGCAAAGAACAAGAGCAAAGGGAGTGGCAGCAGCTCAGGCAGCTAGCTAGCCTCTCTCCCTTCCTTACATTGTGATGCAAATTACCTGCCCCAGGTCAGGTGAAGCATCTACACACACAGTGATCAATCTTGAACTCCATAAGTTGCCCCATGGCTGCTTGAGGCTTTGGGGGGACACCCAGACACAAACCATAACAAAGGGCTTCAAGAAGATGCGGGCAAGCCAGGGAGATAGCACAGTAGAATAAGCACTTGCCTGGTAAGCACAGGGTCCTGTGTTCAATCCCCATTACCACGGGGGGGGGGGGGGAGATGCAGGCAAACAATGCCAAGGCCATGAGTGTGAGTGCACACGCTGAGGCTATCAAGGACCTCATCAAGCCCAAGGAGGTCAAGCCCAAGATCACCCTAAAAGGAGTAAACTGCAGGCTCACTCCTCTTGCCTATATTGCCCACCCCAGCTTGGGAAGCCTATCTGTGTTAGTGTCACAGGCCTTGCTGGCCAAAAGCCCAGGATCCAGCCAAGGCCCAGGCTCCCAAAGGTGCCCAGGGCCTTGTGAAGGCTCCACAGTAAAAGCTTCTATCTGCTGATGTGAAGACAGAAGGACTGGTGTGACCCCTGGGCTGCCATCTGTGGGGAGCTGGTGTCCTCCTGTGCTCTTTGTACAAATAAACCTGAGGCAGGAAAAAAAAAAAATCCTATTTCTAGCTCAACCAATTAGTTGCTTCCTCTCTACATAGTTCAGGACATAGCTGCCTCCTGGCCTTTTCCCTTGTGTACCACCATATCAGGAAATATCTTTGCTAGGTCTGAGAAGTAGATTCACGCTGTCCCCAGCTTTGGCTGCTGGGGGTTCCAGGTAGAAAAACCTTTGTGTTTCTGGCTTAGTGCGTACTTGCTGCAGCCAGAGGCGAGGAGGAGGGAAGGAAGGAGAAGGAATAGAGGAAGGAGGAAGAAGAGGAAGACAAGGAATAGTTTTTTTTTCCCAATCTGGGGACCGAACTCAGGACCTTCATGCTAAGCTATATATGTGCTCATCACTGTTTTTCAGACAGGGTATCACTAACTTGCCCAGGCTGGTTTCAAACTGTGTCAGCCTTGCAGAGTTCTGGGTTTATAGGCACGTGCCACTACCTCCAGCTAAGTGAAGATTTTTGATCTTCTGATTTTTATACCTAGCACTAGTGCTAGACACATAAATGATAACAGTGCATGGTACCGAGTTATACCAGGCCAGATGCACCTCCTTATGTACCCAGCAAGGAGGACTGAGGAACGCCGCAGGAGTCCAGGATTTCCTAGAGAGGGGTGGTTAAGCAGTATCTTCAAGTATGACGTCAGGGGAGACATCCAGACAGAGAAAACAGAGATGCCAAAGCTGTGGAGAGTTTGCTATGGCTGCAGTTCATGGGACAGCAAGAATGGCCACAGGAAACAAGCTGCTCACAGATGGTAAAATTGACTTTTTTTTTTTTTTTTTTTTTTTTTTTTTGGTGGAACCAGGAATTGAACTCAGGCCCTTGAGCTTGCCAGGGAAGCTAAAATTGACTTTAGAAGTCTCAGAAAAGGCCTGGTATAGTAGAACACATCTATAATCTCAGCACTCAGGAAGCTGAGGCAGGAGGATTGTCTTGAGTTTGAGGTTACCCTAGGCCACACAGTGAGTTCAAGACTAGCCTGGACTACCTAGTGGTACCCTGTCTCAAAAAAAAAAAAGGAATTTGAACTTTACTTATAGGCATTGTAAATACGATCTATAGCGAGTTCTTTTTTCTTTAGTGGTGGGAATAATAAACTTCTTTGTCAAATTCTTCTAAGACCCTATAACAAATCCTACAAAGTCCTATAATAGGCAGTTTATGGATTTTTTTTTTCTTGAAGCAAACACTTTTTTTTGTCCTTTTTTTTTAAAAATGTATTTAGTACATGGTCTACAGGGTCTCATTACATACATTGGACTAATAGTGATCCTCCTATTTTCAGCCTCCAAAGTGCTGGGATTATAGGCGCACCACCATGCCCAGTCTCATTATCTGTCTCAGTGCGCCCTGGGGGTGGGGCAGGCACCACAGGCCAGGGATTAACCCCAACCCCTGAGCTCTGGCTAAGCAGGTGCTTTTAGTTCATTGAGCTATTGGACCAGCCCTTCTGTCTGTTTTTTAGAGGCAGGGTCTCACTATATGTAGCCCAAGCTCATCTTTTTTTTTTTTTTTTTGCAGAACCAGGGATTGAACTCAGGCCTTTGTGCTTGCCAGGGAAGCACTTATTCCACTGAGCTATCTCCCCAGCCTCACCAAGCTCATCTTGAACTTGCAGGGATCCTCCTGCCTCAACTTCCTGAGTGCTGGGATTGCAGGTGTGTGTCACCATGCCCAGCTAAAGGCAGGTACTTTCATTGTCCTTATTTTAAGGTCAAGCAAAGTAAAAGACATTAAGCCACCTAAAAACCACTGCATTACGCTGTGTCAGAGGTCCCTATGGGTCCTCAGAGGCCAAGCGTATGCATGGGTCTGTGATACCTCTAGCTCAAATTCATCCAGTTATAAAATCTGGAATGATCTTAGGTTTACAGGAAAGTTGCAGAAGATAACCATCGTTAGTGCCTCACATTACCACAGCATATTTAGC